GCGGGCACCGCTCCTGACCCACGCCTAAGGGGGTGTCTTATCAGGCCGAAAAAATACGTATTTGGTTACGAAACCGTATTTTCTTGAAATATATGGAGGCGTTCCTCTACGTTTCCGTAAAAAGAGCAAGGCGTATATTTTGGGGGCTTGCTCCTTTTACGGATCGGTAAAAAATTTCCCGCTTTTTTTCGGCTACCGGAGCAGACACCGGTCACGCGTGCTGTCTTCATCACACCACACCTAGACAGCACCAACAGCACCCCAAAGTGCTTCCCAAGGCAACTCCACTACCATGCCTGAGCGTGGGAAGCGTCAAGATCCCAGGGGGATCGCAGCGCAACGCCGGGAGAAGCGCCGTCGGCGAGCTATCGACGAGGAGGATGTAGCCCATGACAAGAGATTCACAGTCTTGGGTCTTGTGAGGGCCGTAGTAGTGGCGGCGGGCGTCGTGGCAGCAGGAGAGGCTCATCGTGCCCACTGCCCTCAGGAACGGGAGCCCATCTACGAGCCCAAGCGTCTTCCGTGGGCTCAACACGAGGCGGACCTCGATAAACGGCACGGGTGGCGGCGGTCGTACCGCATGGAGAAAGGCAGTTTCCACAAGCTTGTCGAGCTACTCCGCCCTTCGCTGGAAGTCAACGCTTTCTTCGGCGGCGAGTGTTGATGTGTAGATGCAGCCGCCCACGGCAGGTATGCGTGATGAGGGTTCTTCTGGGTGTATATGTAGAAAGCAACGGGGAAGAGCACAAGTCTAAAACATGTGCTGTACATAGACTACTACTGCTGTAGTCTATGTTCCTGCTGCCTTTTTTAAAAAAGCAACTCGCTCGTCGAACATGCGGCAGCAGGGTACGTACAGCGCAGCAGCAGTATTGTACGATATACTGCTGTTACAAGACACATACTTGTACAGCAGCGGTCATTGTATGGGTTAAAGGCGGAGGTACTATTCGTGACGCTCACTACTGTGCAGCAGTATTCACAGGGCGTACAGTACACGCCGGCCCCACTAAACAAATACAGCCTCGTCGGGAGCCGATACAAATTGTCGTATCCCGCAATGACACAACAGCTGTCGACACGTGCTCATCATGTGCAAAAAATGCGTATGTAGGTGATGAACACAGAGCCGTCTCCGTACCGTAGTACATAGGTAGGTGTATTGGGCCGGCAATCTGACGAGTTTGCGGAGAACATGCGCCCCCCGTCGTAGGTTGCTAAACTAAGTGCTGGCGATTGCAAACATGCCCCCTTTGACACTCGTACTTCTGTCCTGAACGACTCACGCTCATCCTGCAAACGTTATCTGCGCGTCGCTCGGAAACCCCACAGCACTGCGATCGCCAACCAACGGCGCCATAGCTGTGGAAGTCCGCGTTGCCGCGGCGTTGAGGATCCTGGCTGGCGGCAGTTACTGGGATGTTGCCCTCATGTTTGGCTTGTCGAGGGCGGTCACGTTCGACATCTTGTGGCAAGTGATCGATGCCATCAACGAGACGCCTGCGATTGGGGCATTTGACTTCCCCCTGACCGAGGAAGGCTGCATGCGAAACGCCAATAGATTCAAGGTGAGACCTAACGGTGGTCAGTACTGCAACTACGGTTATTCTTGGCGGCATTCTTTCGACCAACCGCGGGATATCGTGTATTTTTTCACGTCTGCTGTTTCCAGCCGTTTTAGCGTAGGGAGGACTATCTATACGCAGCCCTCGTTGATAAGAGAGAAACAAAAGTGTTGTCGCCGGCGGGTACGAGTTCGGGTTGTCATCGTGGTCAGCATGGTTCGAACCGAAAAATATCCCCCGGGTCCCGGGTGGTTCGCCAGCTTTCGGTGTCCTTTACAAATAAATGTTGTTGTCATCCTTTGTGTATGCTGGCCACGTTGGTTCGGCCCCGCAACAGCAGTGGCCCGGCAACAGATTTTAGCGATACAAGAGTGTGGAATCAATGCAGTCACCTCCGTGGCTCTAAAATGCCCTGATACCTTCGTACCGCTGTACGTGACGCATGATTATGATTAGGATTATCAAACGGCCCAACTCTCAGTTTACATGGTATGCCCGCCGTTGCTGGCGATGGCGCCGTCGCCGATGACATCAACCCACACAACGTACAGCTGAACACTGTTACCAATTTTTGTCAACGTATCTCTCGACTTATTTTATATCCCTTCCCGACACTGCTACTTTCCCGCCCTCGTGTCTGCCGTCTACAAATGCAGGAGAAGAGCACCGATGGCATTTTCTCCTGGGTCGTCGCCGCCGTGGATGGTCTGTTCATCAAGGGCAGGGCTCCGTATGCGAAAGACACCGCCAACGTCCTCGCGTACTACTCTGGCAGCAAGTCCGCGTACGGCATCAACGTACAAGCCTTTCTTCCCGTGGCGGGTACACTAAATGGGCGGGTTGCGGTTAGGGGCCACATGAGCGGATGGCGGCAGAAGTACGCTAGCTTCCACGGTATGACGAGACGCGTGAAAGGGAGGATAGCGGCGCGGGAGGGAGAGGCGCGGGAGGGAGGTACCTCAGTGTAGAGGGCGGAGGGCGCTGGAAGAACGTGTTTTGGGTGTTGGTGGTAGGGTGTCGGCGCATCCCGGGGAGAGGTGGGGGGTGTGATGTGTGACATGTTGATTCTCGCTGACATGTTTTGTGGGTGTCGGTGTGGAGCGTTCTGACCAGATGTGTCCGGGTACACTTGGTTCGTAATGTGTGTGTTCGTGCCGGCAACACTTTATGGTTAACATGCATCGTGTGCGGATGAAAGCGGGGTCCTGTGGGTCTTGGAGGGTGCTTGTTTTGCCTAGGGCATTAAAAGTGTGGGCATGTTCGACTTTTTTTCCTAATTGATAGGAGGGTGTGAATCGAAAACGTTGTTGTCGTTGATACAACTTTTTATGATGTCTCTGCATCCCTGTATTACATATTCGTCGCGTGGGTGAAAACATTGCTCCAGGTTGCAGACCTGAAGGAGACCCACACACACGCTAAAAATTGGGGTCTTGTCGAATCCCATCGCGAACACATTCCTGCGCTTCAAGTGAGCATGCGCGGAGACGGGAAAAATTGCAAGGCTCCAAAATTGCGGAACCAAAGCGTGCCTCAGAGTCCCCGCCAACACCCAACGTAGTATTGGGTTGCAAGAACAAGTCTTGCAAATAGGAAAACACCAAACGATATGCATGTCCGCAGAGTGGCGGCACGGCAGGTTACCCGCAAGACAGCGATGTCTTCGGCGTTCTTCAACCATATTATCCTTGATACTCCTTTGTTGCCTCAAGGCATCCTCTCAAAGTGTTGTTGCCAACCAAACAACCCACACGTCTCTGCGGAGGCGCACGTATCCAAAAAAAAATGATGCTACGAAAAGACGAAGTCGTTGACTCAACCATGCCCCAAAAAAAAAGAAGGCTACGACCCTCGCAGCAAGGAAGCCCTGCAGCAGGGAGAGAAATAAAAAAACGCATCCTCGTGTTCGTTGAATACAGTCACAGCAACTTGCCCGTGAACCACAACGGTCTCGGCTTTCTTCCACTATATTTATTTTCGTTGATACTCCTTTGTTCCGTAAAGCATCCTCTCAAAGGGTTGTTGCCTACCAATCCACACGTCTATGCGGAGGCGCACGTATCCTCAATGCTGCGACGAAACGAAGACGTTGACTCAATCATGCCCAACGATAAAAAATGAAACTACCCCCCCCGCCCCCCCCCCCGTCACGCATGCATAAAATTCCACGATTG